TGTCAATAGTCAAACCGCTTCAAGACGCATCAGAAGGAAGGAAGAACAAAAACCTCACTGCTGATGCCAATTTGCCCTCTGGCATGTAGAGAAAAGGAGCCACTCTGAAATTTGGTTCATCACTATGCCGTAAAGCTGAACCTAGCTCATCCATCACATACCTGTAAAGAATACCAAGGTGCTTCCATTTAATATCATTTATATAAAACAAATATCTAACTTCTTAGCTTCCTTGTTTTTGTTTCATCTTGCATTAAGTGTCAGTAAAGAGTACAAGGTAGTGCCATTTAATACCAATCATGTAAAACAAATATACAAACACTGATGATAGCTCAACCTTCTTCACATTTCATCCAGCTTTAAGCAACCAGGCCCAAAAAATCCAATTCTAGACAGAAAATCATAAGAATTTGAAAAGGCTTTGGGGGGAATGTTAAGTAACTCATTCTACTACCTGCCCGTGCAGGGCAAAAATATAAAAGCCCTCAATAAATCAGCCAAAAGGTGCAATACATACCATACTGAGGTTTCATCAATCTTTTCCTCATCTGCAAGTCTATACGTCATTAAATATAACCACATTGCATTAAGAACACGATCAATAAGGGGTTCCTCAGCAGTCCATTCAGGAAGTCGCAGCTCAAGCATTGAATCAACAACATGCTTTTCAGATTCTAAAATTTTTGATGCATCAACACCATTCAGTGAGGAAAGATGGGGAAGGGATTCAAGTATCTTAACAGCACTCTCTCCTAGGGGGCCAGGTATATCCACCTGCAAAACAAGCCAATTCAATCTAAAACTCCCCATGTCTGAGATGGTTAATGGCTTTCAGCGCCAATTGCTTCTGTATTGCAAATGGAAAATAAGAACAAACCTCCAAAGACTGCAAGCATGGAAATGATTTCAAGAATTGAAACAACTCATCAACTGAATTTTGTTCTATTGGATTTCCCCGAATATTCAAATGCGCAAGCATGGGTATCTCATCTGGTACAAATGCCTCAACAGAAGAAAAGCTACAAACAATCAGAACTCAACATGCCACAATATTCTTGGCCAAAAAAACACCATAATATTAATTTCCAATCTAAGTTTAAGTAAAAGAGTAATAACATTATTCCCAAAATCTGAATTGATAAAGAACATAACAAAAGATTCAAAGGAATAATCACCACACCTTATTGTTGAAATTTTGAATAGATCTATTCGAAAGGTCCAGGGTGGTCTCGCCTTTCAAACGATTGTCATCATCTTTTGTGCTACCAGTATCTTGCTTCCCACATACAACTCCACAAAATCTCAAAGCCCATAGACCATATTTTGGGGTGAAATGAGAGTTATATATTTCCAGTTTTGAACATCCTTGGAGAATTGCATCTTCCATGCTACTATCATTGTAAACAGAACACTAGTCATCTCTTACCAGGAACTGACTAACTCTAAAGTTAATCATTAGGAAATTTTTGCACGTCAGCAAGTAAACATACCATCTTTTAAGAACTGGATTATTGTTCAACCAGAGGCCTCTTAGGTTTTTGAGTTTAGTAACTTCCCTCACCACCACCTCTGCATTCTCTAGTTTGTTTCCACACAAGCTAAGCCCTACTAAATCCTGAGCATTGAAAAACAAACAACATTCTCAAATGCTCATTCAAAGAAAAGTTTAGAGCAGATCAATTAATCCTCAACCCTCCATTGATATGCTACAATTTCAAGAACAGATAAAAACGCAATGAAATACCGGAAATTTACTACACAAGTCTAGTGACAGCAGTTTTTCATCATCAATCCCAAGCTCCTCCAGTTCAAGCCATGTCACAGTACCATCTCCATTTTCTTTAGCATTTCGAATTGCATTCTCCACAACCTCTTCAATACTCAAATTCTCATCGTTTTCCTCCTCTTTGTCATCGGAATCGATGTCAATATCCACACACATCAGGGCAGCCATCCTCTCGACTAGGCCCGGTACTTCCTTCAGCTGCAACCAAACAAAGGGCCGCCAAGCGTCACAACAAAATCAAACCTCAAAAGAATCAATTGATGCCGCAAAAGCAGAAAAGAACTAAGGAAGAACCTGGTTATATGCGTCGGGAAGGCGAAAAGACCAGGCGTGGTCGATGAGGAAGACATCGCACTCCTTAGGCATGGAGTCAGACGTTAACAAAAGCCGCCGCTGACGGCCATCTTCGCTGGGCTCGATCGCGAAGTGATTCCCTCCGTCGAAAGTCTCCGAGGTTAGCTTGTGGAACAGTTTGCGGTGCAGCGACTTAGGTAGGCCGGAGGCTGCTAATAGGACACCGTGAACTTTCACGAAGTCATCGTAAATTCCAATTCTGCTGCCGTTGCTCTCGACGCTAGTGGACATTGCTGTTTTGGTCCGACCAGTACGACGACGGCGATTATGTGGTTTAGTCCAGTGGCGAGGAAGAAGTGAGACGGATAAGAAATGTGCTAGGGGTTTTGGGGTTTTAGGGGTTTGAGAAACGCCTATGGCTTGTTTGAGGTTTTTCGATGGCAGAATGCCTAAATTGCCCCACAAGTTAGGCAGCTGTTACAGGACTAGAAATAAGACAGCTGATGTGGCAGGGGGTGTGCTTAGGTGGACGGTTGTTGATGTTGTATGTAGATGATAATGCATGAGATATGATGTATGTACAAAGAGATGCAATAAAGCTCATTCTTGTAACAGAATTGGTTATCAAAAGTGAATACAATTTTTTTATCTTCAGTTTCTCTCCTCTCTTCTCATCCCTTCTAAGACTTTGTTTCTCATCTCAACTCCCTTCTCGATTCTTTTCTCATCTCTATCTCTTGATTATTTGTGGATTGTTGACTGGGTTATATCATTTGGTATCAGAGCTTCGATCCTCCGACCTGTGGCTATGGCGAGTAACACTAGATCTCAAGAACAAGCGAAATTCGAAGCTAAGATCAGGGGATTGATCTCAAACACCTGAAGGGATCTTCTCGAATTGCAGCGACGTACTAAGGAGCAATTCAAGAAGAATGACGAGCAGTTTGTGGCTATATGGAAAGAAAGCAAAGAGCAATTTGAGTCTTTATCCAAGACGATGTTGCAAGTTATGGGTCGAGTGGGGGTCTCCCATGGCGATAGTGGCACTCCAATGACATCAGCGATGGGGATAAATAATGGGATCCTAAGAGGAAGTGGCGACAATACCAAGGTAAGAAATCTTGGCCCTAATCTTGGTTGCAGTCAAGGTAATAACCCTCGTGACTCTATGATTCGATTTGGGAAGGTTGATTTCCCTGTTTTTGATGGCACTGATAGTGTGAAAGGATGACTTTTCCAAAGTGAACAATTCTTTGAAATTAACAAGACTGGGGAAGGGTTTAAGTCTCAAATTGCTAGCATGTATATAAAGGGGGAGGCTTTGCAATGGTTGCAAGCCTACATGAAAGGGAAAATCGAGTGGCCTTCTTGGGAGGAATTTTGCACGACTGTTTGTGTTAGATTTGGGGTAGCCTCTAAGATGAAACTTGTGGCAGAATGGAGGAATGTAATACAGATGGGTACAGTCTTGGAGTATCAACGGGCATTTGAGAAAATAAGGGCTAGGGTTTCTTGCTCCGAAGAGTTTGTTGTTGAGATGTTCATTGGGGGTTTGAAGGGGGAAATCAGGCATGTTGTGAATTGTTCCGATCCTAAGACCTTAATTGAAGCCTACTTCATTCCCCAATTGCATTAGGCCAATTATGAAGCTAATTTCAATTCTATGATGAAGCAGTTTGAACTTACTAGTTGGTCTCAATCTATGAGTATAACACTTGCTCCTTCTTCAAATATAGCTTCTGTTTCTTCTCTCATCCCACCTTTCACTCAAAGGAACAGTGCCCTCTTATCATCTGTCATCCACAGCCTCCTAAGAATAAGAATCTTAGAACACTATCTGAAAAGGAGCTGGAAGAAAAGAAAGTCAAAGGCTTATGCTTCTGGTGTGATGAGAAGTTTGTACCAGGCCATAGGCGCCATTAGAAAAAGCTATTTAATATTGAGGTAGTGTCCTTTGAGGAGGAAGATGTGGATACAACAGAGAGAAGGGGTAGCTTAACTGGTGAATTGGACAGGGGTTGATATTTAGCTACATTTTTCCTTCTTTCCACCCTTGAGGACAAATGCTATTTAGGGGAGGGGATTGTTACAGGATTGGAAATAAGACAGCTGATGTGGCAGGGGGTGTGCTTAGGTGGACGGTTGTTAATGATTTATGTAGATGATGATGCATGAGATATGATGTATGTACAAAGAGTTGCTATAAAGCTCATTCTTGTAACAGAATTGGTTATCTAAAGTGAATACAGTTTTTCTATCTTCAGTTTCTCTCTTCTCTTCTCATCCCTTCTAAGACTCTGTTTCTCATCTCACCTCCCTTCTTGATTCTTTTCTCAGTTCTATCTCTTGATTCTTTGTGAATTGTTGACTAGGTTATATCAGCAGGATTAGATTTACCCATAAATTAAAAAAAAAATAGAGATAAATTTATTTATGAAGTTTTTAATCTGAATAAATTATCTTAAATTTAATGAGTGATATCAAATGACGTTAATATTATGTTAATTTATTACGCCACTGATAAATCTATTGTTAATGAAATGTTGATATTATCTAATGTCATACGTGAGGTAGTTTATCCAAATTAAAATTTTTATAAGTGAAATTATTTTTATTTTTTGTTTGGAATGAATCTATTCCTATTACCTAACTTTAGGGATTGATTTGTACATTCTGCCTTTTTCAATTGCATTCATAAGAGTTGTCTATCAAAGATGCCTAATATGATTTTATGTATATATATATATATATATATAAATGTATTCTTAATT